AGAAATTAGCCAATGTTGATATAGTTAGACAATTGAAGTTTAATCTATGATCTTTGTGATAAAATCTGGATAACTTACATTGTTATTAATAATCTTTCAAATTCATGGGTGTTATACATGCTCTATATGTGATCGAAGACAAAAGAACTTACAAAAGAACACCTACTTTTATGAAAATGAAGTTCTGTTTGTAGATACCCTTTCACAACTTACATAATATCAGGATACCGCTATCTCATGTGGATCAAAATATAACCACATCAAGTACAATTTAATCTCTAAGAAGATTAGTATTGTTTTTTTACACCAAACACTAGCTTAATATCATCACCAAAGAATTTTTCATCATAAAGCATTCGCGCATTAGTGAGAAAACCGAATATTGAGTTACAATCAAAAAGTATATTATCAAAATTGGTCGTCCAACATAAAAAATGCGCATAATTTTCAAGCAATTTTTACAAAATGGATACAATCCAACGACAATCAAAAAATCACGATTTGAAAAAGCTCGATGACAGAGCAGGATTCTGAGAAATCTTTACACAAGATCATTACAGTGGATATTTTAGAGACATCAAAACTTTCTATATTTTCTAATGGGAAAAAAATCCTCAAGACACCAATCGATGTCTTCTGTTTTTACGCTTAAAAGAAGAAAATTTTCACCTTCTAGGATGGCTTTTTAATTTTCTAGAAAAAAGTTGACCATCCAATACGCAAGGTTAGGGACTTTGTTCTCACCTTTTAACGGAGTATTTAACCCATCTGCAACCAACACACAAACTAATTGACCAGCAAGTGCAGGAATCGCAGGATACTCTTCGCAAGACCAGCAAGTGTAGCCCAAAAACTCTTCGCTCAGCCCAATCACTTTTCGGAATTATTTCATTTCTACAATTAAAATCTCATTAGACGCAGAAATCAATGAATAAAACAAAAAGTAGGTAAAAAAAGAAATAGAATTGACAAAACATAACACACACCAATAGCACTATTACGAATACAAAATTTACGAAATCCAAATCACTTACAATTGTTTACATTTACAAATTACAGGAAAAGTCATTCCCTAAATAAGTTTCCTAAACATAAAGAAGATAAAATAGGAGACAGTTCACTCATAACATATATCAACAACAAATTGCAAATGATAGATACGAGCAGATAATTGAAAAAATCATAACATTAGTTTTCGTTCTCAAAACTATAACGGTTTCATCCAACAGCGAGCCGACAAATTGGATCCCTCAATCGATCTTTTTCTGACCCTATTGTGTTTCACTGCTCATCCTCTTTCGCTTCTATCAAGGACCTTCCACCTTCTCCACAACCGGTACCACTCTCATCTGTTTCCAAATCATCCAACTCAACTCATAATCAATCAGGTATTCATATTGTGTCGGATGATTCGATAAAAACTGCATTGAATTTAGTAATACTTAAAAAAAGAACGCACACAATTTTATATCGCACTACTAATTTTTCTGCACCACCAATCTTCCCTATCATCTTAGACACCTGTTATTACCCTTTGCTGAAATTCTAGTTTTTCCCACAATCACACTACCCCACTTTAATCACTACTCGCCAACCGCCGTTAGGTCCCATTGCTCCCAGTCTCATTACTGAAGGTCAACTTCAGCACGATTTAGTTTTTCGTATTCAATAACAACAACCAGTTCACAATACTAACTAACCAATACCAATAATTCAGTTAATTCTATCGATACCACTATTAGCTACTATTACCGATACCATTATTACCACTGTTACCGATATCACTATTAGGAATCGCAGGATACTCTACGCAAGACCGGCAAGTGTAGCCAAAATACTCTTCGCTCAGCCCAAATACTTTTCGGAATTGTTTCATTTCTACAATTAAAATCTCATTAGACGCAGAAATCAATGAATAAAACAAACAGAAGGTACAAAACGAAATACAATTGACAAACTACAAAACACAACACAAACCATTAGCACTATTACGAATACAAATTTTACGAAAACCAAATCACTTACAATTGTTTACTTTTACAAATTAGAGGACAAGTCATTCCCTAAATAAATTTCCTAACCATAAAGAAGATAAAAATGGAGACAATTAACTCATAACATAAATCAACAACAAATTACAAATGATAAATACGAATAGATAATTAGTTACTTAAATCTAAATTACTTAACTCTAAGATTAGATAATTAGATTAATCATAACATTAGTTTTTTGTTCTCAAAACTATTACGGTTTCAGCCAACAGCGAGCCGACAAATTGGATACCTCAATCGATCTTTTTCTGACCCTATTGTGTTTCACTGCTCATCCTCTTTCGCTTCTATCAAGGACCTTCTACCTTCTCCACAACCGGTACCACTCTCATCTGTTTCCAAATCATCCAACTCAACTCATAATCAATCAGGTAATCATATTGTGTCGGATGATTCGATAAAAACTGCATTGAATTTAAAAATACTTCAAAAAAGAACGCACACAATTGTATATCGCACTACTAATTTTTCTGCACCACCAATCACCCCTATCATCTTATACACCTGTTATTACCCTTTCCTGAAGTTCTAGTTTGTCCCACAATTACACTACCCCACTTTAATCACTACTCACCGACGCCTTTAAGTCCCATTACTCCCAGTTCCATAACTGAAGATCAACTTGAGCACGATTTAATTTTTCGTATTCAGTAACAACAACCAGTTCGCAATACTAACTAACCAATAACAATTAATCAGTTAATTATACCGATACCACTATTAGCACCGATACTCCACACAGAGCAGAACGCATTATGAAAAAAAGGAAACCAATTAAACGTCCCCGGATAGTTACCAAACTGCACATCTTCAACCATCACGACTTCAAAGATGCGATAATCCACAACACAATAACTTGCGTGAATTTTTATTTTACTCCATTCCATGCTTCACGCAATATAGCTCGAATAAAAAGGAAACACAACGACAGTGCGACCCTAATGTTAAAGAAAAACTCTAATCTACACACACTCCCATAGTTTTGCTATTTTAGTTCCACAAGACCCCAAAAAATTCCTACAAAAAACCCGCCAACGAAAATTTACACGCCACTATTTTTCATCAACTCACTTGCACAATTCATTTCGACGATTTCATTAATGTCATTGTATCACAAACACTCAATTTGGCCTTGCACGAAAATATAATCAATTTCCCATCATTTAGTATAATCACTATGTTCACAGGTACGTGGAAGACAATTGAATAACAACTATAGCACGTCCCTGACAACTTACTAAAAACCTAGAGGCTTGCAAGTCCTATTTTAGCTGCTTTGATAACTTTTAAATAACCTTTATATTTTTAACACTGAGAGAACGAGATGTTAATTAAGCACATGAACTAAAATGAGAACAAAACTAACACACTTCCACACTTACTATCGTTTTAGTCAAATGTTTTGTTCTTGATTTGTTGCTAGGGAACCGGAAAACGATTACTTGCGAGGGCAAACTCAACTTTACCACGAAATAAACTGTCACTCTTAAAATGAACTAATTCGCTGGTTGAGCATATGTGCGTTTTGTATTATTTACGACTCTCTCCTCACCATGAGAAGGATGAGCAACCAGGTCCAAAATTTGTTCACCTGTTGACCTTGACACCATTTTCGCGGTTCTGTGTTGCAGCTGAAGGGACCATCAAATTAATGATGCAACTGTGTTTTTTGCAGTATGTTTGAAAAATCCAGAAAAATTTTTACTTGCCATCAGTGCAAATATCGAAATCTTTCAGATGATTAAAAAATTGGTCTTGAAAAATACCCCAAGAATATACAATCAGATAATTTTTTCGAAAGTAAATACATCGATTCAAATCAAAAGAAAATTGTTTTCAGTGGTATCTTTCTTTTCTAAATTGCGTTCGATTTTTATGTCACGAATAATGAATTCTGTTGCACATTGCATGAAAAATAGAAAATAAAAAATTGAATAAAATTTTGGTTGCTGAAAATTTAAAAAAGTTTTAAGACTAGGTTTTATCTGGTGTGTTTATGTTTCTTTTTTACTAACATTTTAGTCGTTGCTTTTGTTCCCTGCAGCTACTCTCTTTCAAAAAATCGTTTTTTATCCTTTATTGACAATTTTGATGAGTTTGTTTTAATGCACAACATGATATTTAATCGTAGTGGCACAGTTCTCATTTCAAAGACCAGGACAAGACGTAAAAAACATTAATTTTCAAACAAAATTATCTCAAATTGGGTTCGCTTTAAGAGAAAATTGATATCAAAGTTAAATATTAGAAATTTAGCACAACTAAAACGGTATACTTTGTTTTGCAAAACAAAGTTTTACCAAAACGTTTTATCCTAAAAACTGATCATTTATTTTTTAGTCAATCAAAAATAAAGCTAAAACTGCTGCGTCCATTGCTGACGAAATTGTTTCAATTTGACCTCTTGGGTAGCCCAACAAAGTCTCAGAAAGGTAAAACGCCCAAAAAATGTTCAGTTAAATTATTTTCGTTTGGTAGCCAAACAGTTTTTTAAAAACGTGTTGTAAAACATTTTTTGCAAAGCTTTGGCGAGTTTACCCTTCTTGAACTTTTTGAGTTACACAAAAGGCTCTTTTTGATACAACTTTGTCAGCAATTGATCCGGCAGATTTAACATAATTTTTGACTCACTAAAAAAGCGTACAATTATCCGTTCTTAGGGTAAAGTAGAATCTTGGGATTAATTTATCGATATCATAAAAATTCTGCTAAAAGTGTACGCAATTTTTGTGTTCATCGTTTTTACGCTAAATTAACCCAATTTGAGAGAAAAAAAATCAAATTTCATAAAACATGTCATGCCGAATGTAAATCGGCGCTTAATGTCAATGCAAAATTTTCTTTCAATTGATCGACAGCTGAAAGTTTTTTAGACCGGTAATTAAGGTTTATAACGCTCCAATTCGGTTTCATCTCCGATTTTTTGAAACCAACATTTCTATTTTAAGTATGGACCAACGTCAGGATCGAGAGCAGAGAACTAGGCTTGAAGAGGAAGTGGATACTTTGAACAAACTCTTGCGAGAAAACTTTGATAACGACAAGGAGGTTGCACGCAGGGTGGATATTTTGCAAAGGGAACTGCGGGTTAATGGAATTAATGATTACAAACTGGCGAAGGAAGTAGAAGAAATTCAAAACACGCTCGAACTGAGGAGACCAAAAACAAAGATCGATAGGACAACTGATGTTCGCCAAGAAAGTAGCTCAGGTAATTTCAATTCGACTCAAAAAAAATTCAAGCTATTTTTTGCCTTCTTAATATTGCTTCTTTTAACGAGAAAAGTAAATATAGAATATTCTTTTTCTGAATACGCACTGATTCTAACTGCATGATTATGAGTTAATGAACCTGCATGACTGTTAGTTTAAGTCAGTAAATTTCATTATTTTAGTATTATAATGATAGTAATGGATTTTTCAATCAATTACATTTTGAATTATTTGAGTATCTTGCACTTTTTTTTGTACTTGCATAGGTATTATATTCTTAATAACTATCACTGTAAGAGATTTAGAACTAACCAATCATGATCCATAAGTAAAATAGTAAAAGTGGCTAGGAAAATGACCACTTTTAACCCCCTTTTTTCGGTGTGCCGTTGCACTGACCATTTTTAACCCCCAAAGGGGTTAAAGCTCCTACTTTTTCGGGCACACATGTTTTGGTTGGTGCATGCTTTCCCTTGACTTTGACAGTTCAAATTTCACTGCGCGCGTTATATTGTGGATAATTTTGAAACCTTTATCAACACGTGTGATATTGGTAAGTTTATATTGTTGTTGTTTTGAATACCCCCCAACGGTTGGAGTGGATTATTTTACTTTTCGGTCAGAAGAACAATTTTGAAAAGCTTCATTTCCAGAATGAAGAGTACTATAAAGCAAATCAATGACATTTGTAATCAGAACGTAGTGAGAATCGTTCAATAAAAAGCACGTCGATTTAAGCACCGCCGTTCAGGTGGTTTTACTTCTTCCGGCTCGTTTTCTTCTCGAGCCTCAATATCCAAATAGGGGCAATTGTTCGCTGCTATTTCTGACTCACTTTGCCCCCCTAATTGGTCGAAATCTACCGAATCATGTTCTAACTCTTGATCAGTGCATGTGGGTTGATTGAGCCTTTTATCTGGCGGTGTAAAAAGATAACCCTGCGGTTCTAAAGATTCAGCCAAATCCTCCCTTCTGTTATCGGTGGGATTGACGACTACGTCTACGTCGTATTCGCCCCAGCCATGGTGCGCCCAATTTCTCTTATGAACATATCCTCACGCAAACGTTTATGTCCGAAAGGACTATTAGTTACTCTGTCTGCATGTATATAGCGCTTATTGCCAAATGCGCTCAGGGAAAATTTGTTCGTTATTATGGTTTGTAAATTGTGATAACAGGAAAATATCCTCAAATTGTTTGAACGGACCACTGAACAGTAAGTCAAAGTTTGTTTGTATTGATTATGGGTTAGCTCCCTTTTCGTATATTTTGAGACGCTTTGACGCGTTTTTTTGTAGATTTCTAAACAAAAAGACAAACGATTTACTTCAAATTTTCAACAATTTTTTTTCCGTTTTCCTCATAAATACCTCCCCCTCACTACATAATCTCCTGAAAGGTTATTGTTGCCCTTTTCTAAAATGGTAATTGGAAACTAAGAAAAAAGAGAAACTTCTTGAAAGAAATAATGCTGTACAGTTTGGGCTTTATCCGACGTACTCCTGCATGATCTCCGCAGCAAACTCAACTTTAAATTTGACGTTAACCCGCAAACTCTCGTTGGTGTAGAGGGTTTGCGTAGCTAGTAGATTTTTAAAATCAAAATGATTTTGCAGTTCATGGTTTTTCTCGATTTCTTTGTAGCGATCTTTGCTGCGGATTTTATCCAGGAGCGAATCAGTGTCCGAATATAAAAAATTTGCGTCAGAATTGTCCTTAACTATGTTGTAATGGAACTGGATCATGTAAAAATTTGCCAAATCTAGTATCATTGCACCGACAATTGTGGGCTCATCCCATTTAATGTTCACAGGTTTTGAGGTTACAGATACCAACTGTTCGCCAATTATTTTTAGACTGCTAAATCTTTTTTCCTGGATAAATTTTGCAATTCTTCGGCTTTGCGACAATATCTACAACTAGTCGATTCCATTTTGATTCGCAGAATTTTCCAAATGTACTATTTTTAATTAGCTTGGAGAAATCTTGTTCGAACTTGGTAGTACCTGTTTTTCAGAGCTCAGTGTTTAACTGAACATATGATGCAGAAATTTTTCTTGTCTAAACTGCAGAAATCGATTTAATTTTTCAATTTTCAAACCAAGTTTGAGATAGAGCTGACGTTGCCAAACAGTTTTTTAAAAACGTGTTGTAAAACATGTTTTGCAAAACTTTGGCAAGTATACCCTTCTTGAACTTTTTGAGTTACACAAAAGGCTCTTTTTGATACAACTTTGTCAGCAATTGAACCGGCAGATTTAACATAATTTTTGATTCACTGAAAAAACGTAAAATTATCCGTTCTTAGGTTAAAATAGAATCTTGGGATTAAATTATCGATATCACAAAAATTCTGCTGAAAGTGTACGCAATTTTTGTGTTCATCGTTTTTACGCTAAGATCAACCCATTTTGAGAAAAAAAATCAAATTTCATGTAACATGTCATGCATAAATTTAAATCGGCGCTTAATGTCAATGCAAAATTTTGTTGCAATTGATCGATAGCTGAAAGTTTTCTAGACCGGGAATTAAGGTTTATAACGCTCCAACTCGGTTTCTTCTCCGACTTTTTGAAACCAACATTTCTATTTTAAGTGTGGACCAACGTCGGGACCAAGAGCAGAGAACTAGGCTTGAAGAGGAAGTGGATACTTTGAACAAACTCTTGCGAGAAAACTTTGATAACGACAAGGAGGTTGCACGCAGGGTGGATATTTTGCAAAAGGAACTGCGGGATAATGAGATTAATGATTACAAACTGGCGAAGAAAGTAGAAGAAATTCAAAACACGCTCAAACTGAGGAGACCAAATACAAAGATCGATAGCACAACTGATGTTCGCCAAGAAACTAACTCAGATAGTTTCAATTCGACTCAGAAAATTTTCCAGCTATTTTGTGCCCTCTTAACATTTTTTCTTTTAACAAAAAGAATTAATATAGAAAATTTTTTTTCTAAATACGCACTGATTCTAACTGCATGATTGCGAGTTAATGAACCTGCATGACTATTAGTTTAAGTCAGTAAGTTTCATTATTTTAGTATTATACTGATAGTAATGGATTTTTCAATCAATTACATTTTGAATTATTTGAGTATCTTGCACTTTTTTTGTGCTTGCATAGTTATTATATTCTTAATAACTATCACTGTAAGAGAGTTAGAACTAACCAATCATGATCCATAAGTAAAATAGTAAAAATGGCTAGGAAAATGAGTTTATTTTGTTGTTGTTTTGAATACCCCCAACGGTTGGAGTGGATTATTTTACTTTTCGGTCAGAAGAACAATTTTGAAAAGCTTCATTTCCAGAATGAAGAGTACTATAAAGCAAATCAATGACATTTGTAATCAGAACGTAGTCAGAATTGTTCAATAAAAAACTACGTCGATTTAAGCACCGCCGTTCAAGTGGTTTTACTTCTTCCGGCTCGTTTTCTTCTCAAGCCTCAATATCCAAATAGGGGCAGTTGTTCGCTGCTATTTCTGACTCACTTTGCCCCCTTAATTGGTCGAAATTTACCGAATCAGTGTCCGAATATAAAAAAATTTGCGTCGAAATTTTTTTTAACTATGTTGTAATGGAACTGGAACATGTAAAATTTTGCCAAATCTAGTATCATTGCACCGACAATTGTGGGCTCATCTCATTTAATGTTCACAGGTTTTGAGGTTACAGATACCAACTGTTCGTCAATAATTTTTACACTGTTAAATCTTTTTTTCCTGGATAAATTTTGCAGTTCTTCGGCTTTGGGAACAATATATACAACTAGTTGATTCCATTTTGATTCGCAGAATTTTCCAAATGCACTATTTTTAATTAGCTTGAAGAAATCTTGTTCGAACTTGGTAGTACCTGTTTTTCAGAGCTCAGTGTTTAACTGAACATATGATGCAATAATTTTTCTTGTCTAAACTTCAGAAATCGATTTAATTTTTCAATTTTCACCCAAGTTTGACATAGAGCTGAAATGTTAGGAAGTGTACAGTATAGTTTTTCTTTGGGAAGAAGTTTTGTATGAGCTTTGGCGTGGTGCACACTTCATCCGAAAGGTTCATTTTTTTCAACATGTCTTATTGAAGCTCAATGAGCCACATTTTGGACACAACTTCTTTTGTTGAGGCGAATGGGTAATCCGAATGTGGATCGTGCAGATGATCGGGGTATAAAAGATCAACATCCAAAATCTATCCGATTTCGGATTCTCTGCTCGTTTTGAGAATTTCGGTTATAGTTACTTGGTCATTAAACCCAAATGAGTTTAGTGGAAGAAGAAACTTCTCCATAATCCCACCATATAAATTGTTCGCGTCTATCATGAAGAGGAAAGTGCTAGGCTGTTTAGGGTCGCAGTTTTTTTGTTGGCAGAAACAAGTCTTTTTTCAAAAACACTGGCAATGCCTCTCCTGATCAGGTTTTCTGCCATATCCAAGTGCTCCCTATCAGTGAGCAAATGGAGGTCAGCCTTGTATGTTCACAAAAATGCATCCCCTGAGAGTTTGCTAGCCGTGAAATATTGAGCACAATCTAGCATATATGTTTCAAAACCCACTCGTCTAAACTCTTCAAAAACGCATGCAAGAATCAAGGTATCAGTCGTTAGATACAAGTCATTGTATTCGCTCAAAGTCTGACAACCGAAACGAGTATACACTAACCATGCATTCCTTTTCACTGACACTAACAGCACCTCCTTGCAACGTGTTGGTCCACTTGTCCCGTGCAGGTAGATCATCTTCTGTGTATCTTGCATGGCTGTCAAAACACGAGTAGGGGAAGTAACCTTTTTGTCGAATCAATGTTTTATCTTCTTCCGGTCGGGTAGCAAAATGGTTATGAACTTATCCTCGGGTAGATTCTGAGCCAGCTCTTCTAGTGAGCTGTTCATAAATTTACAACTGTCCACAAAACGGATTTCTTCGTAGACATTGCGGAAATTTCCTTTTTCGTTAGTGTACGATCTAATCCACACTTTCATTGTAAGTGAAATAAT